ATAATATCAAATTATTGGGTAAGCGCGTTGGTTACTGGTCAGATGAGTTTAAAAATGATGAAGGATATGTAATTTCACCTTCAAAATTTTTTACTGGTCTTGTCGTTGGCGCTATTGTTCCAATGAAAGGGTATGAGAAAATGGCTGGTAATGATGTTTTGCTTTTAGAAGATGGTCAAGATGAGCCTGATTTTGTTAATGGCGAATGTAACTTTGAAATATTAGAAAATTAATCATTTTTCAGTTATTAAAACCTAGTTATTTTGACTAGGTTTTTTTATGCAAAAAAGGTTTTTAATGCTTTTAAATGCTTTTAAATGCTTTTAGCTACTCCGTACCCCTTGCTATTACTAGGCTGTAGCCTTCATTCAAGGACGTTTATTTACCCATTCAAGGACGTTTATTTACCCATTCAAGGACGTTTATTTACCCATTCAAGGACGTTTATTTACCTTATAATGACTTATAATAATTTGACATTTAAATGACTTAATTTTAATATGTCATTAAATTATTTAAATAGGTTCTTATCATGTCAAAAACTGACCTTGTAGTTAAAACTAATCAATTAAATTCAGCAGTTCAAAACCTTTCTTTGCCCGAATTACGCATTATTCAGCTTGCTATCGTGGACGCTCGTGAAACTGGCAAGGGGCTGGACACTAAAACGCCTTTACGCATTGATGCCATGCGCTATGCTGACGCTTTCGACACTACACGACAAAACGCCTATATTTTGATGAAACAATCAGAAGAAACGCTTTTTAACCGCCGTTTCACCTACTTTGACCGTGAAAAAAAGCCTATAAAATCGCGTTGGCTTCAAGATGTCCGCTATTTAGATGATGAAGGGGCTATTGAAGTCTGTTTCACTCGCCTGGTGGTCGAATGTATTACACGGCTAGACGGTGCAGAGCAATTTTTTACCCAATATATGCTTAGCCAAACGGCAAACCTAAACAGCGTGTATTCTGTGCGCCTGTATGAGTTACTTATTCAGTGGAAAACGGCTGGCAAAACGCCTGTGTTTGAATTATCGCTTTTTCGTGGACAAATGGGGCTTGATGATGGCGAATATAAGGTCATGTGTGATTTTAAAAAGCGTGTTTTAGATTTGGCAGTAAATGAGATAAACGAAAAAACCGATTTAACCGTGTCCTATACTCAAGAGAAAAAAGGGCGTGTTATTTATGGCTTTAAATTTACAGTAAAGCAAAAACAGGCTCAAAAACCGCTTAAAACGGCTCACAATGATGTTAAAGACCTTAATACGGTAGATATGTTCCATTTGATGACAGAAAAGCAAATAGGGGTGTTTTCGCGCAAATTAGCTAATATGCCTGAATTAGGTAGTAAAGCGCCAATGGGCAAGACAATGGACGAATTCATACAGATAATTGCTAATGATTTGAAAGATGAGAAAAAACAAGCTAAATATAAGCCATACTTAGAGAAATTAGGCTTTAAATGATGTTCGAAATTGACTTGATGCCTTTGCAAGTCGTAATTTCGCCCTTTGGGTTTTTCCTAAGGTCGAATTTTTGGACAATGTGGCGCGCCTGGTGTTCCAATTACTGCTTGGTGTATGTCGCCACTTGATCCAAAAATTGACCCAACAAGCCGTTAGGCGCGTTAGTAGAAATTTAGTATTATTATATTAGTAGATTTTTGTTTACTAATAAGCGGGGCGGGGGGCGCATGGCTTGCCCACTGCCGACACACCGAACCGCGAAAAAGTACACATACTTTGGTAGTGTACTTATGCGAAAAAAATTGCGTTTTGATTTTTTCATATTCTTTAAAATCAATAACTTATGGTTTTTATCTGTAATATTTAGTAATAATTAAGTACACATTTTGCGATAAATTAGCATATAATTAGTATATACTAATTATATAAACAGTGTTTAAAAGGTGAATAAATGCAGTATAATGAAGATGGTTTTAACTTTGAAGATGATGAAAATATATTAGATGCTTCAATTAATTTAAGGATTAATAGTAAACTTAAGTCAGACTTTGAGAAACTTTGCAAGAAAAATCATTCTTCTATGTCTAGGGAATTGAAGCTTTATATTTCAGCTTGTTTAGAGCGAAAAACATTAAAGTTAGATAAGTATTATTAACAAACGCATGATTAATAATGCC